AACTTAAAATCAACTTAAAATACTTTTTCCTTGTCAATGGAGCGCTTGCATTTCACATTTCCTAGTGAAATTGCAAATTATGATAGGCTTTTAACCATGAACAACAAAGCTTTCGATTTTGTTTTGATTTTAAATCATTTAGGGGATTAAAAATGAATTATAAATGATAATATTGATGAAAAACTATTGTCAAAATGGTAATTATTCATTGATAAATCATTCCAAACTTTTGAAGGCATGATCAACCTAAAATGCTCTTTCCTTGCCAATGGATACCATCCACTTTACATTTCCTAATGCAGACATCCAATTATGATAGGCATTAATGAAAAAAAACAAAGATTTCAATTTATTTTGGATTTATGATTATTTATATGACTATAAATAAATTACATATCATAATATTGAGGATAAAATGTTATCAAAGTGATAATTATTAATTGATAAATCCTTTCAAACTTTCGAAGGTATGATAAAATTCGAATGCTTTTTCATTACTAATGGATAGCATCCACTTGACATTTCCCAATTCAAACATATAATAATGATGGGCTTTAACCAAAAACCACAAAGATTTTGATTTATTTTTAATTTACAATCATTTACAGAATTATAAATTAGTTATATACCATAATATTGATGAGAAAATGTTATCAAAATGAAATTATTCGTTGATCAATCATTTCAAGCTTTTGAAGGCATGGTAAACCTAAAATAATTTTCCTTGTCAATGGATAGCATCTACTTCATGTTTCCTAAGATAGACATCCAATTATGATAGGCTTTAACAAAGAACAGCCAAGATTTCAATTTATTTTGGATTTATAAACATTTATAGGTCGCGATCCCGCGAGGGTGAGCTAACTCCAAAAAACCGTCCTCCATTCTTATTCGATCACGGCGGGGGAGCAAGGCAAAATAGAAAAACTCACATTGGGTTTAGGGATAATCAGGCTCGAACTGATGACTTCCACCACATAAATGAATTATATATTATAATATTAAGGATAAAATGTTATCAATGTGATAATTATTAATTGATTAATCCTTTCAACCTTTCAAAAAGGCATGATAGAGTTTGAATGCTCTTTTGTTATGAATGGATAGCATCCACTTGACATTTCTCACTACAAACATCTAATTATGATAGGCTCTAACGAAGAACGAGCAAAACTTTAGATTTATTTTTGATTTACAATCATTTACAAGATTATAAATAAATTATATATCACAATATTGATGATAAAATGTTATCAAAGTGATAATTACTCTTTCATAAATGATTTTAAGCTTTCAAATGCATGATAAACTACAAATGCTCTTCCTTTGTCAATGGATAGCATCCATTTCACGTTTCCCAGTGCTAGCATCCAATAATGATAGACTTTAACCAAGAACAACAAAGGTTTCGACTTATAAGCATTTATAGCATTATAAATGAATTATATATTATAATATTGATGATGAAATGTTATCACAATGATAATTATTCATTCATAAATCATTTCAAGCTTTTAAAGGCATCATAGAATTAAAATGCTCTTTCCTTGTTAGTGTATAGCATTCACTCCAAGTTTTCCAATGCACATATCCAATTATAATAGGCTTTAACCAACAACAAAGATTTCAATTTATTTTCTATTTATAATCATTTATAGGATTATAAATGAATTATATATCATAATATTGAGGATAAAATGTTATTAAAGTGATAATTATTAATTGATAAATCCTTTCTAGCTTCAAAGGCATGATAAATTCAAAATGCTCTTTCCTTATAAATGGATAGCATTGACTTGACATTTCCCAATCCAAATATGCAATTATGATAGGCTTTAACAAAAAACCACAAAGCTTTTGATTTATTTTGATTCACAATCTTTTATAGGATTATAAATGAATTATGTGTTAAAATGTTATCCAAATAGTAATTATTCATTAAAAAATCATTTCAATTTTTGGCAGGCATGCTTAAAATGCTCTTTCCTTTTTAATGGATACCATCCACTCTATGTTTCCCAATACAAATATCCAATTATAATAGGCTTTAACCAAGAACAACAAAGCTTTCGATTTGTAATCATTTATAGGATTTTAATATTTGTAATAATGTTGATGATAAAACGTTATCAAAACGATAATTATTCATTGATAAATCATTTCAAGCTTTCGACAAAATCATAAAATTAAAATGCTCTTTTCTTGTCAATGTATAGCATCTACTTCACATTTTCCAATGCAAACATCCAATTATGAAAGGCCTTAACCAAGAACAACCAAGATTTCAATTTATTTTGGTTTTATAATGATTTATAGGATTATAAAGAAATTATATATCATAATATTGATGATAAAATGCTATCAAAGTGAAAATTATTAATTGATAAATGCTTTCCAGCTTTCAAAGGCATGATAAACTTAAAATGCTTTTTCCTTATAAATAGATAGAATTTACTCAGCATTTCCCAATCCAAACATCCAATTATGATAGCGTTTAATGAAGAACCACAAAGCTCATGATTTATTTTTTATTTACAATCATTTATTGTATTATAAATGAATTATATATCATTATATTGGTGATAAGATGTTATCAAAATGATAATTATTCATTCATTAATCATTTCAAGCTTTTGAAGCCATGGAAAACTTAAAATGATCTTTCCTTGTCCATGGATAGCATCCACTTTATATTTTCTTATGCAAACATCCAATAATGATAGGCTTTAAGTAATAATAGGAAAGCTTTCAATTTATTTTTGATTATACTCATTTTAAGGATTCTAAATGAATTATATATCATAATATTGATGATAAATGTATTAAAGAGGATAATTATTCATTGATAAATCATTTCAGGCTTTTGAAGGCATGATAAACTTAAAATGCTCTTTCCTTGTCCATGGTTAGCATGCACTTCACATTTCTTGATGCAAACATCCAATTATGTTAGGCTTTAACCAAGAACAACAAAACTTTTGTTTTATAATCATTTATAGGATAATAAATGAATTATATATTATAATATTTTTGATAAAATCTATCAAACTGATAATTTTTCATCCATGAATCATTTCAAGCTTTTGAAGGCATGATAAATTGGAAATGCTCTTTCGTTGTTAATTGATAACATCCATTTCTCCTTGTTAATGTAGACATCCAATTATGATAGGCTTTAACTAGGAACAACAAAGCTTTCAATTTATTTTCGAGTCATAATCATTTATAAGATTATAAATGAATTGCATATCATAATATTGATGACAAAATGTTATCAAAATGATAATTATTTCTTGACAAAACATTACAAGCTGTCAAAGGCATGTTAAACTTAAAATGCTCTTTCCTTTTATATGGATAGTATCCACTTCAAATTTCCCAATACGTACATCTAATTATGATAGGCTTTAACCAATAACCATAAACTTTTATTTATTCCAATTTATAATTATTTATAGGATTATAAATGAATTATATATCATAATATTGATGATAAGATGTTATCAAAATGATAATTATCCATTACTAAATTATTTCAAGCTTTTGAAGGCATCATAAACTGAAAATGCTCATTCTTTGTCAATGGATAGCATCCACTTTATGTTTCCTAATGCAAGCATCCAATTGTGATAGGCTTTAACGAAGAACAGCAAAGATTTTGATTTATTTTTGATTTATAATCATTTATAGTATTATAAATGAATTATATATCATAATATTGATAATAAAATGTTATCAAAATGATAATTATTCATTGATAACTCATTTCAAGCTTTCGAAGGCATGATAAACTTAAAATGCTCTTTCCATGCCAATGTGTTGCATCCACTTCACATTTCCCAATACAAACATCCAATTATGATAGGCTTTAACCAAGAACAACAAAGATTTCAATTTATTTTTGGTTTATAATCATTCATAGGATTGTAAATGAATTATATATTATAATATTGAGGATAAAATATTATCAAAGATAATTATTAATTGATAAATCTTTTTAAGCTTTTGAAGGAATGATAAATTTAAAATCTCTAACCTTATAAATGGATAGCATTGTGATAACTCTATTATATAGAGTTATTTTGACTCATTTTGGGAGCTTAAGTAGCTAGATCTTTGAGATTTTATGTTCGAATTTTAGCATTATAGGTGTTTTTTTTAGTTTAAGTTTGATTATTGTTAAGTGATTAATTTAAGTTATTTTAGTTAAATTTTAGGTATTTTATTTTAAATTACTTTAAGAGTAGTTATTGCTAATTTCTCCTATGGCTTTTGTAGGAAATTGATGAAAAAGACTCATTTGATGAAAATCAGTGCAAGTATGGTGATAGCTTCATTCGTATATGTTTCAATTATTTTGACCATATCTCTTTCTAAAAAACTCCAAATGAGGTGATTCTTTGACCAATCAAATTATAAGAAGAAGGGAAACAATTTTTATGTTCACCAATTGGCTCAGTTATGATTGGATCATGGTCAAAATATTTGTCAATTCGGACCACTGCAGCAGGATGTAAAAGACTGAATATGATGCAGTATTGGAGCAAATCTTTCAATCAGAAGTCAATTGATGCGATTTTTAATCCACTGGAAAGTTAAGAGATAGGGATAAAACTTTTAGGTTACTACTTTGCCCAGTTCTTAACATATCAGGGTGAAACTCATGTTTGAAGTTGATAGACTGCCACAGCGCTTGGAGAACAAGGCTGCAGCGTTGCTGAAAGGAAGCACACATACAAAATTCCAGAGGAGCTCAGCGCTGCAGCGCTGGAAGAGCGCGCAGGCTGCAGCTGAGAAGTAGCGTCGCGGCGCTGCGCGACTTCCCTAAAAAATAAAGGACATTAAACGGAATTTCGCAAAATTAGGTTATTTGGAGCCTATTTAAGGAGACTTTTTCAGAGATTTTTGAGGCAGCAAGAGAGGCAGAGCAAAGGAGGCAGCAAGAAACTATTCTGGAGATTTGGAGCCAAGAACAAAGCAAGGAAACAAGAGAATGGAGAGAGAATCAAGATCATACATCTCTAACTATTAGTTTTCTCTCTTACCTTTGTGTTTTTTTCTTATTTTCTTTGACTTGGATTCATGGCTAAATTTCTTTGGATATTGTCTTTATTAGATATTATGAACTAATTTATTTTCTAGGATTGCAATTGAACTCACATGTAATCTAGATTTTAATCACTTTCTTGCTTATTTCAATGGGATTTGAATTGTTTATTCAATTTGTTCTTAATGCTTTAATTGCATGGCCGCCAATTAAATTGATCTAGAAACCTAAACAAACTTGGGAAAGGGAGTTTAGTGTAGACTAAAATTGGGATAGCATATGATCATATTAAGTGATTTGCGTATAGGATAGGGATATACCTATAGGCCATATGTAGCCAAATTAGAGCCTGAACTTAATGAGTTTGTTTTAATTTCAATTCACATAGGGATATAGTGTTTTGGTTAAAATAGATATTTTTATAAGATGAGTTGGGAGACCCTTATAAATAATTTAGGACTCTAGGTTAGCAATTCAACCCATTGAGATAAGTTAAGGAAGAGAGGTAAGATTTAGATGAAGTGTGAGGGATATTGTAATCCTAGGCTTGTTTGATTTGATATTTATTTGAGTATTTATTATTTTGATTTTTCTTAATTTAATTCTGCTATAACTTAGTTTGATTTGATATTATTTTGATATTGTTTGGATAAGATTAATTTGCAATAATTTTAGTACTTAGTAAACTTTTAGATCAATTTCCTGCAGGATCGATACTCTACTTGCTAATATACTATCTATTCGATACGTATACTTGCGTGGTAGAATTTTAACTGACAAGTTTTTGGCGCCGTTGCCGGGGAATTGTTTCTAGAATTTATACTAATACTAATACCAAGCAATTTAGTCTTACTTCAAATTTTATTTTTCTTGTTTTAATATTAGATTTTGTTTGTTCGCAGATCTCTTTGGTCATTGCATGCAAAGAAGAAACAACTTGAATCTTGTTCCTTTTGATCCTGACATAGAAAGAACTTTTAGAAGACATCGAAGGGAGAATTTACAAGTTGCAACTTTAAATCAGACAATGGCTGAGGATAACAATAATAATGGCAATAATGCCATTAATTTGGTTCCCGAAGCAAATAGAGCACTACGGGATTATGTTGTTCCTCTTGTGCAAGGTTTGCACCAAAGCATTAGGAGACCTTCCATCAATGCGAATAATTTTGAAATTAAGCCAGCTTACATTCAGATGATTCAGTCTTCAGTCCAGTTTAGTGGATTACCTAGTGATGATCCTAATTCTCATTTGGTAAATTTCCTAGAGATTTGTGACACCTTCAAGTACAATGGAGTAACTGATGATGCTATTAGATTGAGACTGTTTCCCTTTTCTCTGAGAGATAAAGCAAAAAGTTGGCTTAATTCATTGCCTAATGGGTCTATCACTACATGGGAGGACTTGGCACAAAAGTTTCTAGCAAAATTTTTTCCACCTGCCAAGACTGCAAAGATGAGGAACGATATCACCTCATTCATACAATTTGATGGTGAGTCCTTGTATGAAGCCTGGGAGAGGTTTAAAGAACTACTGAGAAGATGTCCACATCATGGGATTCCTGATTGGTTGCAAGTTCAGACATTCTACAATGGGTTGGTTGGGTCAATAAAAACCATAATTGATGCTGCTGCTGGTGGGGCATTAATGAGTAAGAATGCTGTAGATGCCTACAATTTGTTGGAAGAGATGGCCTCCAATAATTATCAATGGCCTTCAGAAAGGTCAGGCTCGAGAAAAGCTGTTGGAGCTTATGAAATTGATGCACTTGGCACCTTAACTACTCAAGTAGCTGCGTTGTCCAAAAAGCTTGATACACTGGGAGTTCATGCAGTTCAAAATTCATTAGTTGTTTGTGAGATGTGTGGAGATAGTCATTCATATGATCAATGTCCATATAATTCCGAATCAGTCCAGTTCGTGGGGAATTTCAACAGGCAGCAAAATAACCCATACTCCAATACTTATAATCCTGGTTGGAGAAACCACCCCAACTTTTCATGGAGTAACAATGCAGGGCCTTCCAATCCAAAACCCATCATGCCTCCTGGTTTTCAACAACAAGCTAGACCACAAATTCCAGAAAAGAAGTCCCAATTGGAAGAACTCCTCTTGCAATATATATCCAAGACTGATGCAATAATTCAAAGTCAAGGAGCCTCCTTGAGAAATCTTGAGACCCAAGTGGGACAGCTCGCCAATTCCATCAACAATAGACCTCAAGGTTCCTTACCCAGTGACACACAAATCAATCCTAAAGGTAAGGAACAATGCCAAGCAATCACTTTAAGGAGTGGAAAAGAGATTGAAGGGGTGAATCAAAAAGCAGTTGAATCTGAGATTGAACATGTTGATAAGGAAGGAATGTGTGAGAATGAAATTGAAATTCAACAAAAAGATGATGACAAGGCTGAAAATCAAGGAACCTCTCAAGTCATCCATCCTCCACCACCTTTTCCCCAAAGACTTCAAAAGCAAAAGCTTGAAAAGCAATTTTCAGAAGTTCCTCAATGTCTTCAAGAAATTACACATAAATATTCCTTTTGCTGAAGCTTTGGAACAAATGCCCAGTTATGTCAAGTTCTTGAAGGACATCCTCTCCAAAAAGAGAAAGCTAGGTGAGTTTGAAACTGTCTTCCTTACAGAAGAGTGTAGTGCAATTCTCCAAAATAAACTGCCACCCAAACTCAAAGATCCAGGTAGTTTCACAATCCCTTGCACAATTGGTAATTTATTTTTTACAAAAGCTTTGAGTGATTTAGGTGCAAGTATCAATTTAATGCCTTGGTCAATTTTTGAGAAACTTGGTTTGGGGGAATGCAAACCCACTTCTGTTACTTTGCAATTGGCTGATCGTTCTTATGTATACCCGAGGGGAATTATTGAAGATGTTCTTGTCAAGGTAGATAAATTTATTTTTCCAGTTGATTTTTTAATTCTTGACATGGAAGAAGATAGGCAAATTCCAATCATCCTTGGGAGGCCATTCTTAGCTACTGCAGGCGCAATCATTGATGTGAGGGAAGGCAAGATAAGTTTTAAAGTTGGAGAAGAGGTAGTCGAGTTTAATATTTTCAATGCAAGTAAACACCCTAGCTCTACAAATTATTGCGATAGAGTGGAGTTAATTGATGAAGGCAAAGGTGAACTTATTTCTCCACCTACAAGTGAGCAGGCATCAACCTTTGAGTTTAAGCCACCACCTCCACCCATGAGACCCAAGCAGTCACCAAAGGAGCATCCTCCAGCACTATCTAATTGCCCTTTCGAGATTGGACAACAAGTAATGATGCTTTCTCGATCATACTTCAAGCTTTTTCCATGGAAACACAAAGAAAGATGGTGGGGTCCTTTCAAAGTAGTAAAAGCATATCCTTGTGGAATAATAGAGATTGATAGTGAAGATACGGGCACATTCATGGTTAATGGGTTGAGCCTTAGACCATATTTCGAGGATGAAGAACTGCAAAAGGGGGTGCTATAGTCAAGCTAGTGACTATAAAGAAGCGCTTCTTGGGAGGCAACCCAAGATATTTTTTTTTCTAAGTTTAGTTGTTATTTTAGTTAGTTCTTGTTTTTTCTATTTAAATAAGTAGTTTTAATCTCTCCCTAGCTTGTTTTGCTGTGTATGCAGATTTGGAAAGCATGAAGATGAGGAGAAAGAAGATTAGAGCTTTCAAGGAACTACCACCATTGATAGGGAAGTTTCTTTTTCTTATTCTTTTTAACTTTTCACATTGAGGACAATGTGCAATTTAAGTTTGGGGGAAGGTTTTATTGTTATTAGTTTTTGTGATAGTTTATGTTAATTTATTTTCGTATCTTTTCAACTAGATTTACTTGTGCCAGCTTCATTTAATTTACCTATCCAATGATGAGAAATCAGTTATATTCCTATCTTGATTCTTCAAAACACGTGAATATTGTTTGAGTGTTATGTAAATTCTCATGCTAAGCTTTGCCATTAGGTTGAAATTTCTACATTTTGAGCACTATGTCTTTTTCTTAGATTTATTGTATATATTTAGAAAAGGTTTATGTGAATGCAAATTTTTGAATTATATATTAAGTTCTAGAATTTGTTTGATTCTCTCTCGAGGCGAAATCCTAGGCTATACTTAGTTAAGGAGATGATTTAGGCCATTGTTTGGACCGATTGAGCCTTTTGTAGCCTTCCTTTACATAAATTATCCTCAGTTTCCCCCTTTGAGCCTAATGACATCTTTTCTTTGTTTGAACACTTAATTTTTAGCCTAGACCCTTATAATAATATTTGCAACAATTCTTACATCCCTCATTCCTAAGTGCATAAGTCAATTTAGAATGTGTTATGAGCCACATAGTGAAAGAGGTAGTCAAGACAAAAAAAAAAACGATGAAAAGTTCAAAAATATGATTGTACTCATCTCATTGCCCAATAAAAGAAATAAGTTTGGGGGTATGAAATTGAGAAAAAGAAAAAGGGAAAGAAAGAATGAAGTGTTGAACAAAAGAAAAACTTTGATGGAGAAGGGGTATACTAAGTGAAGGAAAATAAAGCTCTGAATGGCATCCAGATTGATTATGTGCTTAGGGTGATTTGAGCTATACATTATCCCATATCCAACCTTAACCCTAGCCATACATTACAAGCTAATTAAAGTCCTATTGATCTTTAATATAGTGTTAGCCTACATTAGTGGAGAGAGGGATGAAAGCAAACTTATGGAGTTAATTATTAATTTGAATTTTGCATGAATATAAATTTTCCAGATTGTACAATATTCTAAGTGAAGAGATGACACACACACACGGAATTTAACTTAATGATGAGTTTGCATTTGAATTGAGACATGAACTTGAATAATATTTATGTGTTGCCTAGAGTTATGAATATGGATTAACTATTGAGGATATTAAAAGTAATTAATGAAATGGTGCAATTGAAGTCTAATTAAATGTTTTCATGTTTACGTTATTGCATGTTGTTTTATGTTTTGCTCGAGGACTAGCAAAATCTTAAGTTTGGGGGTGTGATAACTCTATTATATAGAGTTATTTTGACTCATTTTGGGAGCTTAAGTAGCTAGATCTTTGAGATTTTATGTTCGAATTTTAGCATTATAGGTGTTTTTTTTAGTTTAAGTTTGATTATTTGTTAAGTGATTAATTTAAGTTTTTAGTTAAATTTTAGGTTATTTTATTTTAATTACTTTAAGAGTAGTTATTGCTAATTTCTCTTATGGCTTTTGTAGGAAATTGATGAAAAAGACTCATTTGATGAAAATCAGTGCAAGTATGGTGATAGCTTCATTCGTATATGTTTCAATATTTTGACCATATCTCTTTCTAAAAAAACTCCAAATGAGGTGATTCTTTGACCAATCAAATTATAAGAAGAAGGGAAACAATTTTTATGTTCACCAATTGGCCCAGTTATGATGGATCATGGTCAAAATATTTGTCAATTCGGACCACTGCAGCAGGATGTAAAGATGAACATGATGCAGTATTTGGAGCAAATCTTTCAATCCAGAAGTCCAATTGATGCGATTTTTAATCCACTGGAAAGTTAAGAGACAGGGATAAAATTTTATGTTTACTACTTTGCCCAGTTCTTAACATATCAGGGTGAAACTCATGTTTGAGTTGATAGACTGCCACAGCGCTGAGAGAACAAGGCTGCATGCGTTGATGAAAGGAAGCACACATACAAATTCCAGAGAGAGCTCAGCGCTGCAGCGCGACTTCCCTAAAAAAAATAAGGACATTAACGGAATTTCGCAAAATTAGGTTATTTGGAGCCTATTAAAGAAGACTTTTTCAGAGATTTTTGAGGCAGCAAGAGAGGCAGCAAAGGAGGCAGCAAGAAACTATTCGGAGATTTGGAACCAAAAGACAAAGCAAGGAAACAAGAGAATTGGAGAGAGAATCAAGATCATACATCTCTAACTATTAGTTTTCTCTCTTACCTTTGTGTTTTTTTCTTATTTTCTTTGACTTGGATTCATGGCTAAATTTCTTTGGATATGTCTTTATTAGATATTATGAACTAATTTATTTTTCTAGGATTGCAATTGAACTCACATGTAATCTAGATTTTTAATCACTTTCTTGCTTATTTTCAATGGGATTTGAATTGTTTATTCCAATTTGTTCTTAATGCTTTTAATTGCATGGCCGCCAATTAAATTGATCTAGAAACCTAAACAAACTTGGGAAAGGGAGTTTAGTGTAGACTAAAATTGGATAGCATATGATCATATTAAGTGATTTGCGTATAGGATAGGGATATACCTATAGGCCATACGTAGCAAATTAGAGCCTGAACTTAATGAGTTGTTTTAATTTCAATTCACATAGGGATATAGTGTTTTGGTTAAAATAGATATTTTTATAAGATGAGTTGGGAGACCCTTATAAATAATTTAGGACTCTAGGTTAGCAATTCAAACCATTGAGATAAGTTAAGGAAGAGAGGTAAGATTTAGATGAAGTGTGAGGGATATTGTAATCCTAGGCTTGTTTGATTTGATATTTATTTGAGTATTTATTATTTTGATTTTTCTTAATTTAATTCTGCTATAACTTAGTTTGATTTGATATATTTGATATTGTTTGGAAAGATTAATTTGCAATAATTTTAGTACTTAGTAAACTTTTAGATCAATTCCCTGCGGGATCGATACTCTACTTGCTAATATACTATCTATTCGATACGTATACTTGTGTGGAAGAATTTTAACTGACACATTGACTTGACATTTATAAATCCAAACATCCAATTATGATAGCCTTTAACCAAGAAGCACAAAGCTTTTGATTTATTTTTGATCTACAACCATTTATAGGATTACAAATTAATTATATATCGTAATATTGATGATAAGATGTTATCAAAATGACAAGTATCCGTTAATAAATTATTTCAAGCTTACAAAAGCATGATAAACTCAAAATGCTCTTTTCTTGTATATGGATAGCATCTGCTTCATGTTTCCCTATGCAAACATCAAATAATGATAGGCTTTAACCAAGAACCACAAAACTTTTGATATATTTCTGATTTATAATCATTTGAAGGATTATAAATGAACTATATATCATAATATTGATGATAAAATGTAAACAAAATGATAATTATTCATTGATAAAACATTTCAAGTTTTTGAAGGCATGTTAAAATTAAAATGCTCTTTCCTTATAAATGGATAGCATCCACTTTATGTTTCCTAATGCAAACATCCAATTATGATAGGCTTTAACCAAGAACCACAACACTTTAATTAGTTTTCAATTTATAATCATTTATAGGATTTTAAATGAATTATATAACATAATATTGATAATAGAATGTTATCAAAATGATAATTATCCATTAATAAATCATTTTAAGCTCTTGAAGGCATGGTATACCTAAAATGCTCTTTCCATGTCATTGGATGGCATCCAATTCATGCTTTCCACTGCAAACATCTAATTATGATCGCTTTAACCAGCAACAACAAACTTTTGATATATTGTCAAATTATTTTTGATTTATAATCACTTACAAGATTATAAATGAATTATATATTATGATTTTGTGATAAATTATTATCAAAATGATAATTATTCTTTGATATATCATCTCAAGCTTTTGAAGGCATGATAAAATGCAAATGCTTTTTTGTCAATGGATAGCATCCACTTCACATTTTTCAAGGCAAACATCCAATTATGACAAGCTCTAACCATGAACAACAAAGCTTTCGATTTATTTTTTATTTATAATCATTTACAGTATTATAAATGAATTATATATCATAGTATTGATAATAAAATGTCATCATAATGATGATTATTCATTGATAAATTATTTCAAGCTCTTTAAAGCATGATAAACTTAAAATGCTTTTTCCTTGCCAATGAGTAGCTTCCACTTCACATTTCTTAAGGCAAACTTCCAATTATGATAGGCTTTAAACAAGCACAACAAAGATTTCAATTTGCATTTGATTTATAATCATTTGTAGGATTATAAATGAATTATATGTCATAATATTGATAATAAAATGTTATCAAAATGATGATTATTCATTGATAAATCATTTCAGGCTTTCGAAGACATGATAAACTTAAAATGCTCTTTTCATGCCAATGGGTAGCATCCACGTCACGTTTTCCAATGCAAACATCTAATTATGATAGGCTTTAAATAAACACAACAAAGATTTTAATTTATTTTTTATTTATAATCATTTTTATGATTATAAATGAACTATGTATCATAACATTGAGGATAAAATGTTATTATAGTGATAATTATTAATTGCTAAATCCTTTCAAACTTTCAAGGGCATGACAAACTTAAAATGCTCTTTCCTTATAAATGGTTAGCATCCACTTCATGTTTTCCGATGGAAATATCCAATTATGATAGGCTTGAACCAAGAACAATAAACTTTTTGATTTATTTTCAATATATAATTATTTATAGAACTATAAATGAATTATATCTTATAATATTAATGATTAAATATTATCAAAATGATAATTATTCATTGATAAATCATTTCAAGGTTTGGAAGGCATGATAAACTTAAAATGATCTTTCCTTGTCAATGGATAGCATCCACTTCATGTTTCCCTATGCGGACATCCAATTATGATAGGCTTTAACCAAGAACAACAAAGCTTTCGATTTATTTTTATTTTTTTATTTATAATCAATTTTAAAATTTTAAATGAGTCACATAGCATAATATTGATGATAAAAGGTTATCAAAATAATAATTATTCTTTGATAAAACATTACAAGTTGTCGAAGGCTTGTTACACATAAAATGATCTTTCCTTATAAATAAAAAGCATTCCCAATGCAAACATCCAATGATGATAAGCTTTAACTAAGAACCAGAAAGCTTCTAATTTATTTTTGATTTACAATCATTTATAGCATTATAAATGAATTATATATCATAAAATTGATGATAAGATGCTATTAAAATGGCAATT